CATGACTGACGTCAGCTCCCAGAATTTGGACGGCTCGTGAGGGTTTGGGGCTGTTTTTCCAAGATATCATAGGTTAGGAATCAACATTATTTTTAAAGTCTTTGTCCCCCGAGCAGCTCTTGTGCATGAGGGAGCTTTCCTCCCTCTATTTCTATTAAGTTTTTTTTTTTTGCTTCTGTTTCTTCCAAGTCCTGCCACAAAAATGTCCAACAGGTCTATTTTCTTATCCCTCTATCTACTCCTCTCCCATTTTGGTTGGGTTGACAAGGTGGTGTCAATGTGGTGTGTGTCTGGGCAAGACCACATAGATTGGTTGAGTTGTCCTAACATTGTTGCTTCTAGTTGGGAGCTCTTGGTCTTTGTTATTTAAATGGTGAGGGAAGTGTTTTCTGTGAATGCAGCTTGCCCATGGGAGCTGGTGGGAACTGTGTAAGAAATGGGACACTCTTATCCCCACCCTTGAAGACCACCAAGCTGAGATTTTCAAAAGTGAGGCATGATTTGGGGTGGCTAGCTTTTGGGAGCCCAGCCTGAGACACTTCAGTGGAAAGATACTTTGCTGCTTCCTAAAAATCAGGGCACTCTAAGGTGTCTCAATTTGGAAAGCCCCAAAATGGAGGCACCTAAAATTACTAGTTGCTTTTGAAAATCCAGACTATTTCAGATCCAATTAAAAAAGGTTTTAATTGACGAGGAAAAAAGCTCTCCTGGTGTTTAACTCAGCATAGAAAAGTGGTTGCATTGCCCTCACAATATCTCCCTCCCATGTAACTTGCAAGTAGCCAGTTGCTAGGGGTGTGCATTGATTCGGATCACTGTCCCTGATTCGATTTGGTCGAATCCAAATCTGAAGTTTTGATGTTGATTTGGAGAATCAGCGATTCAGACATAGACACAGCTTTAAATGTTTTTTCTACATACCTCAAGGTACCAGCACGGCTTGTGAACGCTGTGATGCTGGGGCACTTGGGGAGCATGGGGGGACCCTCCATGTGCTTGGCGGTGAACCCGGAAGTGAACCAGACGTACTTCTGGTCCACTTCCAGATCTGCTACCAAGCACACTGGGGAGCCCCCCACGCTTCTGTGGGGCACTCCATGCGCCCCAGCATCGCAGCATTCATGAGCCGCCTGCTACCTCGCGGTATGTAGAAAAAACATTTAAAGCTGTGGCTGTGTCTGGATCGCTGAATCTCTCCAAAGCAATTCGGATGGTTCCAATTCAATTCAGAGAGATTAAAGGGTCCTCTGATTTGATTTGGATTCAGAGATTCAGCCACCAAATTGGGCCAAATTTCTACCAAATTGAATCAGGGACCAAAGTTTCACACAGCTCTACCAGTTGCCTCTAAAAGAAGATACGAAGGAACATTTTCACCATCAATTGTGGTGCCAGCATTATTCTGCATATTTGTTCTTTAGTATTATACATTTGTGTGATAGTTTGTCAGAAATCTGTTGCTGCAAGTCATTAGACCTTTCTAAGGATCAAAGACCTTTTTGGAGTCAATGGAAATCTCCATTGATCAGGCCCAGTATACTTTGAGAGTCCCTGCTATGAGCAGAGACTAACTCCTCACAGTATTTCCTGGACCATCAGGGTTTATGAACACATTAACAGTAAGAGCTGTGGTACACAATAAGAATGGGTTCCTGGCATTCATAGAACTGTCTTACACCTGAAAACCCTGCAGCACTTAACAAGGGCTCATCATTATTATACAGTAGGTCCTGACTCCTCATTCATGCTGGGGAACATCTCACTTCACTAATCTTACTTCATTGGCACTATTTGTAGATTAAAGTACCAGTCAGCATGGGTACATATGTTGGCATCTGGCTCATGAAGATGGAAAAACCAGCATACAGAGAGGTGGGTGAAAGATTTGTCCCAGAGCAAACACTGAGTTCCACACAAAGAAAGGGGTAGAGCTAAGTCCCCTAGCTAGTAGTTTCTGCCTTAACCTTCCCTGTAGACATTGTGAGAGACTTTGAATTGTCTTGTAGGCTGTGGTGAATGGACCCAGACATGAGTGCTGGAGCTATCCTATTCATTTTGGGATAGCCATGGCCCTTCTTTCTCTTCCCAAATTATACCCCAAAGGCCCTTGCTTATCTAAAGAGTCTTCAAAAATGGACATCTTAGGTACTTCCCTACTTCCCTTTCTCCTTCCCATCCAATGTTCTTCCACTCAGTGCAGCTGTTTACTCCCTGGACTGGTTGTAAAATGTCGAGGAAAGGCTCCCAGCAGCTTTGGCATGTGTCCTTCCCTATAAAATGGTCCTTGGCAGAGCTCTTTCCAGAGTCACAGCTTACCTTGCCTTTTCTATTTAGGGCACAGCAAGAGGTGAGACTTTGGCTCTTGCACTTCTCTGCCTCCCTGCTTATCACCAGTGCTTCAGACTCTTCTCCTCTGTGAGGGGTTAGGGCCTGAGCAGCATAGACAGAGCCATGTGGGGGAGCTCTTGGTGCTCTCCCAGTTCTGTGGAGCCTGTGCCACCATTGCTAAGTTCATGTTTCCCTAGGTTTGGTTTATTATCTTATTAAGAGCCCAGCAGGGCCCTGCTGGCACTGGATTTGGACCCAGCCCTTATATCTTTGTTCTGGGTGAGCACAACCCTCAGACTGACCACAGCACCTGCTAGTTGATAATAGGTGGATTTATTGATACAGAGTGATAACAAAAAAGCAACAATACAAACAATCCTATATCTACCAATCCTAGGGCTGTCATCAGAGTTAAAGTACATCTGGTTAAGATACAGGCTGCACTCTGAGGCTCTTTCTCTTAGGTGTCAGCAGTCTGGAGGTGGGATGCCAAGGCCCACAGCTCCTCTCCAGTGGGGTGGATGAGACGGGCTACTGGTATGCCCTCGGTCCACGGTGGCCTTGGGGACCCTTCCTGGGGGACAGAGATGGGAGTGGGAACCCCTCTCGGGGAGGAGAAGGAGGAGGAACCCAGGTGCGGGATGAGAAGGAACAGGGAGGGACTCTTTGTTATTCTCAAGTCTCTGCTTTTGTATTCTCCTTCCCCCTTGATGACTCCTGATGACTCTTCATCCATGGCTATCTCTGGTTGGGTGTCTCTCTGCGGGCACATGTCCACGTAGCCTTCTGGGCCTTTTCCTAATTTGGGCTGTTCCCCCAAAACCAGGACTCAGGCACCCCTCTGCTCTGGGGCCTTGTAGTTGGTGTCATTTATCTCATGTTATGGGACAGTATGGTACATACTTCGTTGGTTCCCAGGCTGTGTGTCCTTGTTGTGTTAGACAACTTGTTGGCCTTGAAGGCTGTGATCTTGTGTTATGGCATGCCCCCCCTCAATTCTCAGGCTGTGTCCATCTGTTGGCCTTGTTGTGCTGGACAGCCTGCCTGCTTCCAGGGCTGTATGGAACAATGTGTGTGAAGCCCACGCTCTTACAAATCAGTTAACCCCTGCTGCTCATCTTGAACCCTTATAATGCATATATCTATACCTATAAGCCAATTCCTCCCAAAACAGGCCTTTAAATACAGTTTCTAAGCCAACAGGCTCTGCTTAACTCACTTAGTGTCCAGTTTGTAGTTTGGCCAGATACTTCAGAAGGTGGTGATAAGATTCCCAATAAGAGTAACCTTGCATCTAGCCCCGGCACAGTTGGCCAGGAAGAGGGTTGACAGCATAACCCCCTCTCCAATCTAGCTTCTCCCTGTAGGGGTCAGGCATTGCTGCTGCCTTCGTGCCCTTTTGTTGCCTGTTGTAAAGGAGATTGGGAAGCTGGTGGAATCATGGTGAGGTCCACTCTGAACTAACCAGAAAAGTTGGCCAGGTGCAGAGGGACAAGCATGATCTCTTTGTGGGGCAGATGCTCTAGAAGGCTTTGAGCCTTCCTGAAAAATGAGTCCTCTGAGAAGATCCTGGTGGAGTGGTGCAGCTTGGCATCATTCCTAGAACAGGCCAGCATGAGGCCTGACAGCCATTATGAGTCGTACCTAAGTTGGTGTGACTGTGAATGCCATGCCTGATCCTATTGTCACCTCAATCCTCCAGAGATGGGCTTAGTGGTTTTGCAGTCTCCCTGCAATGAATGACAAAGAGGCTTCTGCAGAATTCTCACCTTCATTGTATTCACTCTTTGGCCAGCTGGCAGGCAGCTTGTCCGCCCCAGCAGGCTCTATTTTGTACTTGCCTGTGCCATTTGAACGGCTCTGTCCTTCAGCCTCCATTGCTTGGGTGGATGCTCAGAAAGCTAGCACACTGGGGACATGGAGCACATGTATAAAAGTCCTACGGCAGGACAGCAGGGAGGGTTTGTCACTGAAGAAGGTAAATGTGGTAAGAATGGAGGGAGAGAGAAAAAGCAAGAATTTTCCTCCATGCTTGTTTCAAGGGGATTCTGGCCTTCTAAGGAGACTTGAGGTGACTCCTAAAATAAGCTAGCATATTACTACCTTTCCTCCTCACTTTTTTTAGAGCAATCCCCTTTTCTATCTCTAGTGTCCCCCTTCTCTTTTCTCTATGTTATAGCCCCTTCCCTTTCCCTTCTCTGAGGCAGTCTTTCCCTGTTCTCTGTCCCCTGGAGCCACTCATTTATTTCTCTTTCCATTTCTCTCCCTTCTCTTTTCACTCATCTTTTGGGTTTCCTTTTCCCCATTGTCCAAATGTACATGCCTACTCTAGGAGCCGAAGTCCACTTTAAACTATGGAACTATGATAGTTAACAAGAATGATTTATATTTGTTTAATTGCAGCCTGCCCAAACCCTTCAACAAATATGCTGTGACACAGCTTTAAGGGAAGGAGTTCACAATCTTGTGGGAAATCTCCATAGAATTATCCAAACTTTCTCAGACTTTCCTACTGTTTGTTGGCCCTCACAGAAAGCTTGTAATGGGTTCTCTAGGTCTGCTGCTATTATTGTTATTCATGCATGTTTCCTATGATGTTGCCCTGCACCGGTCTATTCCTTCCTGCTGCATTGATACTTTTGCTGACTGTCTCCCAACCCCTGTCCCTGCAGGGCCTACATGAGTGTGAAGGAGCTGAAGGAGGCGCTGCAGTTGAACAGCACACACTTCCTCAATGTCTACTTTGCCAGTTCAGTACGGGAGGAGCTGGCTGGTGCCGCCACCTGGCCATGGGATAAAGAAGCCCTCAGCCACCTGGGTAAGGCAGCTCCCTCATGTAACACGTGAGTCTGTGTGTCTCCTTATGGCTGATTCACAGAAGATCGCTCCTAATTACTGCTCACAAAGGGGATGGAGAGGGCAGCGGGAACAGAGATCTGATTTTTGAAAGCCCATTGAAATCAATGGAATGGTTCTGATTGACCTCACTGGGCTTCGGAACCAGGAGTCATGCAAGCCACTCAGCTGGGAAGCTGTCACATTTGAGTCAACTGATCCCTCAGGAAGGGGGCAGAAGAGAGGAAGAAAGATGCTTTGCCAGAGGGCCTATGGAAAGGACCACAAGAAAATTAACAGAAGCATCAGGCAAAGTAAGAGTCTCTGACTGTGGCGGTAATAAAGGAGTTTGAGTATGTGCACAGAGGGAGTTTCAGGGTGCAGAATGTAAGAAGTAGACTTAGCAGTGCCATCACAAGTCATGGGCCCACTGGGCATGGGATAATGCAGGACTTGGGCACTCAAGCACAACCATTGTGATGACTGTCATATAGTTTCATAGTTTCATAGTTGGTAGGGTCGGAAGGGACCTGAGCAGATCATCAAGTCCAACTCCCTGCCATGGGCAGGAAAGAAAGCTGGGGTCAAATGACCCTGGGTAGGTGATTATCTAGGCTCCTTTTGAAGGCCCCCAGGGTAGAAGCGAGCACCACTTTCCTTGATTAATGCTTAGAGGCCCCCAATCAACACTATGTCCATGACCCCCAAAACCCTTAAGGCAGCCCTTGGGCTTAGGATGAAAGATGACTCAGTCCCAACTTGTTGCAATGAAGCCAAATAAAAGTTTTCAGAAGTTCAAAAAAGTTCTTCAGCTTTTCTCTTTGTGACCACAGAGTTATACATCTGATACATGCTAACATGGAGTGAACTAGGTCAGAAGGAGGGTCCTGTTCCCTCCTGCATCTTAGTATTCACCACTATCAAATCCAGTAGAAAGGCAAGATGTTGCAGATGGTGCAGCATGAAAGGAAAGGAAAGGGAAGTGCCAGGGCTTGCAGTCGTAGTGTAGATCAACAGTGTATATGATTTTCCAGGTTTCTATTTATTTCAAGAACAACCAACCAGCTGGAGACTCAAATGTCCCATGAGCAGGCAAATGGTATGTCTGGTCACCTCCTTTCATCCTGAGCCAACACCTGCTGAAGTTGATGGCTAGACTCCCTCGGATTTCAGCCACCTACAGGGTCGGCCTTTAGTGTCAGTCCCAATATCACTGGGTTAGGAGAAGTTGCTTCCCAAAGGGAAAGGGCATTTAAATTTGGTTCATGTTTTCTTCTTTTGGTTGTTGTTGTTGTCTTCTTTCTTCATTCATTCCTTCATTTCTTTTTTTTTCTTCTTTTTTTTGCTTTCACACTGCCTCTCTCATTCTCTGCCTCTTTAGTCTCAGGCTTTTCTGGCAGAGTATTTTACACTTTGCAGTCAAAACATCTTAAGTGTTTCTCAGTAAGTAACTGGAAGTAATTACCCCTGGCACCTGCACGCCAGATCTAGACCTTTTGCTTTTACAAGTGCAGGATGTTCAACCCTAAAAGTTTTACATGATCATTAGAGACCAGTTTTAATGTTATTTTTGCCAGTTTTCCTTCTTCAGTGTGCTGAAAGCTCACAGTTCAGTGGATTTCAGGACTAGCTTTTCAGTTGCAGATTGCTTTAATCACTTGTTAAAAAAGGCAAATCTCCATGACCTCTGCTCCCAGAAATGACTTTCTAAACTACTTGGGTTTCCCAGTAATCTTCCTACAACCAGCTCCTCAGCCTTACTCATTCTCTTTGGGACACTGTCAGTTGCTTTACTTTCTAGTGTACAAAAGAGTGGCAAGTAGTTTGGTAAATCAAAGGCTTACATTTACATCTGGGACTAGAGTTCAGATCCCAGAAGTAAGTTTAAGCAGAGATGGACACCAGTTGTGAAGTTAGGATCAAAATCTAGAGCCAAACTTCAGCAAAGTTTGGAGGAGAAAAGAGGGGTTGTCTTGGCATTAAGCCAGAACTGGGAAGAGTGAGTCTGGATTTGACCTTCCTCAACACTCTGGCATGAATGGCTTTTAGATTTAACGTCTGAGTCTACACATGCAGGCACGTGCAGTTTGTCGTGGCACAAAGTGCACGTGTTGCACATTAAACTGTGCATATATTTTGCACATTGAACTGTGTGCAGCTCTGCTAATTTGCAGTGCAGGGGCAAAATTTGCCCCTGGGATTTCCAAATAGCAAAGAAAAACCCCCCAGAAAAAAACATGGTGCAAAGCACACCAAAATAGCATGCGCTGGGACAAACACGGAGACAGGGGAGAAGGCACCCCGGGGTGTGCACTGCAGAGCACCCACACTGAGGCACACTGTGGCTGGCTGGCATACTGAGGAGGCTCCATTACACAAACAGCACTTTGTATAGTGTGTGTTAGGCAGGGAATTTGATGGAAAACAGCATAGGGTTAAATGGGCTGTTTTCAACTGGCAGATTAACAACATGGTGCACCCAAAGATGGTGAGGTTTAATGGAACTACTAACATTCTGGAAAAGGGAGAAAGAAGTAAGTAGTTGGGGATTACTCTTGACTAACCAGAAATGAGTCCAAGTTCAGAATCTTGGAAATATCAGAGGGGAACTAACCATAACCAAGCCAGGTGGATAGGGAACATAGAGGCAGCTGAAATTCATTGCTGGGAAACATGAGGTAGTAAGTTTTGGAAGAGGCTCATTGAATGACTCCTGTGCGTTGCAGGGTTCTAAATAAATTGAACCATGTAGAGCAGGACCCCAAAGATGTCAGTGAGAACCCCTGCCCAGTGCACAGCAGTAAGGAAAATGTTGGGGGGCTAGAAAAAATGAGTTAGAGAAGAAGATTGAGAATGTTATAAGGCCAGCGTGTAAATCAGTGATCAACCTTTACCTGTGTGTGTAGTTCTGGCCCTCTTATCTCAGAAGAAACATAGCAGAAACAGAACCAGTTTAGAGGAAGTCGGTAACAATGACCAGAAGCAGGGGAGGGGACACTAGAGAGTAGTGTTTACTTGAGAGTAATCAGATAAAAAGGGGACATGCCCATTCTTCCCTTTCTTGCAGAGCTATGGTGGTTGGTTCTTCCTATTCCTTGAGCTCTTATTCTTATTCTCTTGTGAGGTCTGCTCAGCTCACCACCAACCCTGGCTTCTACCAATACAGGCAGCCCCTGCCCAGTGCTCTTAACTGGTTCCTGAAAAACTGAGTGTTAAGTGAAAGGAATGTTAAGCAAAACCAAAAGTATATGACGACCCAAGATAGCTACTGCAATTGTTTTTAATGACCCAAAATGGCGACCGCGAGTGCTATAGTGAAACTCGCTGAGCACTAAGTTAAATCGGGTGTCAATTTCAAATGAGCGTTATAGAGAAATAGCGCTAAGTGAAAGAGTGTTAAGCAGGAGGTGCCTGTATCTACTTCCTCCCATCCTTCCCCCAGGCAGTGGAGCATCTCTGGCTGAAAGCCCAAAATAGGCTGACTTCTTCCACTACAGATTTGTTCTCTCTTCCTTCAGTTTTGACATCATCCTAGTGAAACTCCTCTGCTACTTCAGTTTAACCGGATCCCCGCACTTGCCATGTGAGTTGCCTCGTTACTACCTTTCTGCCCATTGTCAAACCCTCTCCTCCTACCTCCACTTCTGTCTCTGGCCAGGATCTCAGTGATTTCTTCCAAAATAAAACTATGATACACTGTGACACGGCTGTCCAATTCCCCTGTCAGACACAAGACTCTCTCATATGCCCCTTCTCTGTAACCCTCCCCTCGTTGAACACTCTCTTACCTCCTCCTTTTCTCTCCTTTGGCTTTTTCCTCTCTCATTAAAAACATGCTGTCATTTCTCCTGTTAAAAGAGAGAGAGAGGGAGGAAGAGAGAGAGCACACTACCCTTGATCCCACTTGCTTCTCCAGCTACTGTGCCATTTCCCGTATCCCAGCATCTCTGGGCCTTTGAAAGCACTGTTTGCCATCACTGACTGGACTTCCTCCCTTTGAGTTCCCTTCAAGACCTTCACTAATCTGGCTTCTGCCTCCTACACTCTGCTAAGACTGCTTTTGCCAATCTATGAGTTTTTCCTACGCAGAGCTCAGATTCTTAGTCTCTTTTACTTGCCCATGTTCTCTTGAAATGTTCGATTCTGCTCTTCTTCAGTTCTTGTTCTCTCATCTTCTGTGACTCTACCCTCTCCTGGCTCTCCTCTTTTCTAATTTTCTCTTCAGTGTGTTCACAGAGAATCCTTCTCATCCCTCCCTCATCTTCTTGTGGGTGTCCTAGAGGGCTGTGTTCTTAGCATCATCTAGAAGTGGACATTGAGCTGCTTTCTCTACACTGATGACTCATAGATCTAGCATAGGGATAGACGACCTCCGGCACACATCCCAGAATGTGGAACGTGAAGGCATGTTGCTTGGCATGCATGGCACAGGGTGGACAGTGGAGACGTGGCCGGGGCTTCACTGCCACAACAAGGATCAGGCCCCTCAGAACTCCCTGCCACACACCCCTGGCATGCTAACATCTTACAAGTCAAGGTTGTGGGTGTGTTTGGCATTCTACCCAAAAACGTTGCTGACCCCTGATCTAGCAGATCCCCATGCCAGACCTGTATCCTTCTGTCTAGACAAAAATCTCAGGCTATGTCTGGTATCCCCTCATAAAAGATAAGCTTAAGCTCAAAACAAAGCTCTTAACTGCCCCTCCCTCCATTCCACTCCATCTTCCTGCTATCTCCTTTTTTCCCTGTGTACTACATTACCAACTCACTTGTTACTCGGATTCAAATCTCTTTCTTGGTCCCCACATCCTAGCTCTAATGTAAATATTTCAGAGCCTTTCTGCATAATGTATCTAAGAAACAGCCTTTTCCATCCATCCTCACAACTAAAACTCTTGTCCAGACTCTGATGATCTTGGGCAGTTTTTCAGCAGCCCAAAGGGACCGCCCTGCTTAACACGATGCAGGATGGCCAGGGTGAGG